TTGAATTGTGAAAAGTGTAAAAAGTTGTGAAAATATGTTAAGGTGTCTGTCTTCCTTGTGTGACATAATTTAAAAGTAAAACTTGTGTTATTAGATAGTTTATGAAAAGAGCTTTTTGTAGACACTAGATTATTTTATTTGGATGTCAGACGAAGAAATGGGGCATGTCGAAAGTTGCTCAAGTTGTTGTCAAATGACAGCAAACTTGCTGTTTGATGCATGCAATATGCCGCGACTAAAATACTAGTGCAAGTGTATAGTTGTTCATTTGAGTACATTGGTAAATATTATTTTGAAATACAATGTGAAAACCTCCCCCTTCTGTTTTTGGTATTAAAGGGGTTGAGGAGTGAAATTGTGATATAATGGTGTTTGTGTGCATGTGGTGTTTTATATAGGTAGTCCTAAGTTCAATGAATATAGTTTAGGTGTTACGAATGACTTTTAGCACTTGTGTAGGGTTTTGGACACCCTTTTTATTGTAAAAGTTAATAAAATGATAAAAATGTGTTTGGGTATTTGGCTTCCTAATGTAACTTGTTTTGAAAATGAAATCCCTGCCATTAGCTAGTTTACAAAATTAGCTTTCCATAGACATTTAGATCATGTCATTCAAATGTCAGATAGAGAATTAAGGCACATCAGAAGTTGCCCAGATTTTGTTGAAAAATGATAGCAAAATTGTCATATGCGTGCAACATGTCGTAGTGTGTGGCACAGAGACTAACAAGCTGTGGTACTGAGTGTGTAAGCCACAACATATTACTCTGTTTTTAGCAACATGAGATTTTTCAACTGTTTTTAATTTTTTTCACTCCTTTGAGGCATCCCATACTTCCATAACTTTATTTTACTCTAAACAAAGAGTTAATGAATTTTTTAACTCATTTTGGATAATGTAAACTTGAGATCCATTGAATTTTATATTTCAAATTTGGTAATCTCCTTAAAGGTTAATCTCCTTATGGTTAATTGCCTTAGATTATGCTTTAATTATATTTAGTTAAGGTGGATATTTCAATTAATTGGGTTTTCAATAGAGCATTCTATGGATAACTATTTCACCTCAATCAGATGTTGAACAGAGAAATGGGCCGTACCTAGAGTTGTCCCTTATTGCTATCATTGTTGTTAGTTTTAGGCAGTATGCCACAGCATGTTACACTGAGAAGAGCACGCTACAACGTGTGCATGCCATGCTATGGTGCTTATCCCTGTTTCTTATTGTCTTGATTTTCTCAATTTTCTTGTAATGCTTTTGGTATAAAATGGTATCCCATGCTTCTGCATTTGTTTTAAATGCTTGATTGGATTTGTAAGTCCTTTTAATGATTTGAAAACTTGAGATCCCAATTTGTGAAATTACAACTCAATTTTTAAAGTATCTTGAAGATAGTTAACTATGGTTGAGAAATTTGTAATTATCTCACTCTACTAACTTCAATTAACCAATAAAACTCTTAGTAATCAAAAGGTTAACCCATAAAGGTGATTACTAAGTTTTAGTTCAAAATCAAGGGTTCTCAAATTTTTTCAATCAAAATGAGTTTAAATCAATCATAACTCTCAACTCACATTCCACTTCTAACTCACCTAATGCCCACATTGATCACATTTGAACTTACCCATTAGGTTTATTAACTCTTTTTAGTCCCCAATAACATTAATGAGCCATTAAATTCTCATTAATGGCATCACACTCTTCCAACAACCCATATTAATGCAATTTTTGCATATTTATGAAGCTCGACCACCAAGACACCAAAATTCATTATACCTAAATTTAAATACTCTAATCTATTCCCATTAACTTCATTTGAATCAATAGATTCGAACCTATAGTCTATATGGACTGAAAATCATTTTCTACTATCAAACTCTAACCATAAACTTCATAATGTGGAAGAAAAAGGGAAATTAAAAGGCATGATACTTATCTTGGGTGTTTGTAGCTTCCAAAACACTCCTAATATCATCCAATAATAAACCCTAATAGAGCTTGACATGCCTCTTCATTTGCTCTTCTCTATTTCTATCTTAGTTCGCGACTTATTTCTACATAATTTGTACCATGCATTGTGGTACCTGTCCCCACGTGCCATGACATGTGGTACAGAGAAGACAGCTCTTTTCTTATAGCCCTGTGCACGGTGGCTCACCACGCATGCACCGTGGCATATGGCATAGAGGCTTTTTAACTTATTTTTCTTTATTTTTTGATCTCCAAGTAACCCAATTTCATTTTGGACCTAAATTATACATAAAATTCCAACTAAAAATACTTATTATTTTTCTTTAACCACACATCACGTCAACTTACTTAATTATCCTAATTAATCTTAGTAAATCAGGGAATTAGAAATCGAGATATTACAAAATTTATATGGGTTAATCTTATGATTACTCGAGAGTTTGTGATAAAGATGTGAATTAGTAAGGAGAACCTTAGACAATAAAGCTAAGACATCATATCATAATTTAAAATTTTAAAGGTCAAGTTTATGAGTCATTCTACTCTATATATACTTATTAGTTAAATTTTATCTGATATGAAACATTTTACATAAGCTCAATTCTACTTATATTTGGATAGTCTAACAATCTTCCTCTTAAGTGTGAGTCTATAAGACTCCTATATGGAAGACGTTGTAAACACCAAGTTTAGCAATTAGGGCTAATTCCATTTTGAGATTCAAATGGTGTTGCACCATATCTAGCTCTAAATGTCAAGGCTTGTTTCATGGGTCATTCCACTTATCATATAATCCCTTCGTATCAAATTATAAGATACTTTTAAACAAAATCTCACATACCAATAAACCTCATTAAATACACTTAATAACCTTATCTTTCCAAAACAAAAATATAAACTTTTAAAAATATCCATCATTTAATATATTGAAAAGTTAAGGGACATAAATTAATTATAGAGAGAGAAAAAGTAATATTGAAATTGATGCATTTAATAACACATTAATTTACCCAAAGTGTTTTATATTTTAGGAAGGAGAAACTCATTCAAAAATGCTCTATAATTTAGGATAGAGCGAGTATTACTTCATAAGCTCAACATTTTTCACATTAATGCCTTGTTTGGTACATATAATTGTTTTTGGTAGAAGTGAAAGTAAAAATAGAGGTGAAATTTGAGTATAAAAATATGTTTGGTATGATACTGGAAGTGAGATAAAAAATTTATATTATATTATATTTATATTTTAAAAGATGAAAATATCCCTAAAAATGAAAAAAAAAGGAAGCAGCAGCTCAAAACCACTTGCCTGAATGAAGCACTTGCAATGAGAGTACAACCATTTTGAAGAACACAAAACCATCATCCAAGAAGAAATATTGAGGAAGATCTATGATTTCAACTCAATCAGCAAAGCACTATTCCAACATAAAATAAGAAGATCAAATTGCATAAAATCAAATATGAAAATCATGGAACACATTTAAACACATATTTGCAACCTAAATCTGCAACCCGATTTGCAACATCAAAGAAGAAGACAAAGATCTACAAGCACCGATCTGCTCCACTTAAACCAATTTGCTAGCTTTTGAGCTCAATAATTCCTCCGATTTGTCAAAGCTTTAAGTTGTCATGCTCATCGAAGCAAGCATTCAGTTTGAGTTCATATAAGCAATGGTTAGGCAAAGGATGGACTCCTTTGCTGGGTAGAGGACTATCGTTGTAGTTTCTGGAGGAGGATCATTGCTGTTGTTGGTGGAAGGTTTGTGATCAATTGGCAATATGGAAGAGGGGAGGCAAAGGTAAGGATAAAGGAGTTTAATGAGAAAATAGGACTCATTTCCATTAGTTGAGGAATGGAACCCACTTCTATCAATTTTGATGGAATTGGATTCCATGGAGAACCAGCTTTTATAGTACCTAACGGATAAAAATATTGGTTTCACTCCCACTCTCATTTTTCTCCCCCTAATTCCTAGCTGCTAAGCAAGCCCTAAGTGTGAGTCCATAAACTTATCTATATTGAAGGCACTACAAACATTATTTTTGCAATAAGGGTCCTATTTTAAACACTATAATTTCATCTTAATTCAAAATCTTAACTCGCAAATTTATGTGTTCTTCTACTTATATCTATTATTATTATTATTATTATTATTATTATTATTATTAATAATAAATTCATCTCCAATTGATGTAAGAATTTTGACATCGGTCAAAAGTTAACTCATAACTACATCCTAACAAAATTTTGTTAAACATGTGATTTATTTGATTTTTTTTATTTTGGTTTGAAATCATTTACCATTGAATTTTTTTATATAGTTTTAAGAGAAAATTACATATAAGTCTCACAAAGCAAACTTATTTATCAATAACTTTCATGAAATTTAAGAAACCTAAGTGTAATTCAAAATTGAAGTGCCAATATAATAATATCTCTATTAAAAATATATTATATTAATCGAATAATTCACAACCATTTCATCAATAATTTATAACTATCATTTTAATTTTTTACAACTGTAACTTTACATATTTAATAGTTAAATTGATCATGCATTTCAAATTTGATACTAATTGTATTCAATTACTTTCATCAATAATTTACAATTATCACTTTAAAATTTTACAATAATAACTTCACATATTTAATAGTTAAACTGATCACATGTTACTAATAAAATTTAACAATAATTTTTTACAATTACCACATCAGTAATTTATAACCCACACTTCAATATTTTACAACTGTAATTTTATTATTTTTAATGGGAATAATATTGTCTTTATAATTTAAAGTCAAATTACACTCAAATTTCAAGATATCTAGCTATAATTTTTAAATTTTACAAGACTTATTTATAAATAAATATACTCTAAAGAACATATACATAATTTTTTCTATTTTTAATGTATTTATAATCAAATTAATTAGTATATCTTTAATTAATTTTATAAATGATGTTGGAAATATCGGCAATATAAACTTCAAGCCTTGGCATGATAGATATCCAATGCTTGCCAGGTTGAACAATATTATCAGCGTAACCGACCGAAGCCGAGACTCCGAACCAAAGCAGGAGAACGTAAAAGTAAACCCTTCCGAACCTTCAAGCATTTTGACGCCGACAAGAAGCTCGAGAAGAGTCGTCGAGTCGTCGCGCCATTAGCCATCCAGGGGTTTTGGTAATCTCATCGTTCTTGACGCCGATCCTCTGTCTCGATCCTTTCTGAATTGTTTTTCGTTGATGCAGATTAACTTCTTGGGACTGTTTTCGTTTATTGAGTTGAGTTTGTTATATTATTGGAATGATGATTCATATTTCTGGTTTAATGATCTGTGTTTAAGTATAATCCCTGTTCTCTTCGTCTCTCTCTTTTCTGCCATCGTAGCAGCCGTGGTGGTATAGTATGGGTATTTCAGCCATCGTATCTTGCTCTCTCCGCCTGGAAGCATCTCTCTCCCCATCCCTCGCGTGAAAGTACACATGAAACAGCTCTGTCGACCTTTACATTGTAGCCTCCTTCCAGGAACAACCAAATGTTGCCATTGTTTCAGCTAACGAAACGGGTCCTGAAGATTTCACCTATTTTGCCATACCCGATTATTTCGAGATTCGGGGACACTAGGAACTTCAAATTTACATTATATTAAACTACACCAGATTACTATCCAATGGATTGAGCTAGTATTCTGGCAATTTATGCGGTTATAATTTATAACTGCATATTATGTCAGTTTTGCTAATTATACTGGCTCACCCGGTAAAAGAAAATACGAATCACTGCCTGTGTTCCATGGAAGCACAATTCTTGAAAGAGCATGTTCAAGTTTGACACTTGTTAGACACTGTACTAGACATAACACACTTGAAATTATACTTTGACCTTGAATAATTTTTCATGTCATGATTGTCAAGTCATGTGTCAATGCTTCGTAGCCTGTGTTAGACGAACATACTACTGTATCTTCATCATTTTTGACAAAGCTTATCCTTGTCTCCAACTTAAATCACGTTTTCATTGAAAATTTGTTTAGTTTTTGTTCACTTCTATGTTGTTCCATGCTTATCTGACTTACGTAGTCCCCCCTGATTTATATTTCATTAGGGTTGAAGTTATTGGGTGGTATGGAACAAGGGTCACAGCAAAATCAAGGCACAGCAACTATGACAACTGGTGCAGAGTCAAAACCAAAGAAGAAAATCTGTTGTGCGTGCCCGGACACTAAAAGGCTGCGAGATGAATGTATAGTAGAGCATGGTGAATCAGCTTGTGCTAAATGGATTGAGGCTCACCGTTTGTGCCTGCGTGCTGAAGGTTTCAATGTTTGAAACTGTTAAGAAAGAAAAGGAGTAAAATACGACATTGGTAGAATAATTGAGTTGGTTTTGTGAAATTGATACAGGTGTTAGAGCACAGTAGACTTTTACTAACGATATATACATGATATTTGAATTTTTGAATAAAGAGAAAAGGAAACTGATTTTTTGATGCAAGGCATAATTGACCTGTAATTTTATTAGGGAGGTTTCTCCCTATTCTCAATATTGCTGAAACTGAAAGGTCTTATTGCAGATTACATTTTTTTCTTAGCTCAAATTTGTTTGTAGGCATATGAGTTCTGTTAATCAATAAATTCCCTCCTGCTTTTGTTATTTCCCCTGCCCCCCAGGTTCTCTTGTTCTTCATGGGATACTTTTGTCCTCACATATATACGATGCATGACAAAAGGGGTGAATGTTTAATTCATGGGCCTTCGTTTAAATCCTCTGGAAAAATAGTTAAGTTTATTGATCAAGGTCAAATGTGCACGAACATGTTGCTGTTAATGTTTATTAGGCCTTTGGCGCCTAATCATGGATGGGAAATAACAGCCAAATCTGGACTCCGCATGTTCATGTATCAGAACATCTCATTCTGATTCTCCGGAAGGATTCCATGCAGTTAACTGCTAGTCCTACTACTGAATATTAGTATGTTACATTGTTTTCACTTTGGCTGTACTAGGATTGAAGGCATGAATAACAAGAAAAAGGTTTGAGATGGTGTGATATCTCAACATGGACAAGCTAGGGTGCGCAAGCAATAAAAGAATCATTTAAATGAGTCACGTTCAACATTGCTTATCTTTAAGATTTTTCTAATCCATATGCCAATATAAAATAAAATATAACTCTTCATCATCATTCATGATCACTTACGGCTCTTGAAACTTCTTTTTTTTGGGGGGGGGGGGGGAGATCATCCAAGCATGGCTTGTTTTGAAATCCCATTTGATAATGAATTATGATTCTTGAAACTTCATTTTGTGAATCACATGATTAATTATTATGAAATTTCATTTAATAACTAATTTTACCTAATTGAAATTGAAACATACCCATAAACTTTCTCAAAATACGCGCAATACAATGTAAATGAGACTCAAGTTTGTTCATAATTTAACCCTAAATATGAAGTAACAATGAAATTTTTAATCCTTAAAATTTGTCTCAAATTTCAATTATCAATTTGATCTCTTATATTTTCTTAAATAATAAAGTTAGTTCTTAAAATTTTAAAACACAAATGGCCCCTTAATTTAATCTAATGTTTACTGTAAGTTAATGATGTGACATGCATATATTGTTAAATAAAAATAAATTAGTACTCAAATTACTTTAATTTTTATAAATCTAATCTCTTACCTTGCATTTTGTTCTTTTATTTTTTTTTAAAAAAATCTGAGCTTATTTTTTTACTATACAAACACATTTTTCAATTAATCTACATTACTACAATTTATATTCCGTCGTTTGTGTCATCAGATTTTAATAGTTTTACCTTTTCTTTAAATAATAAAAACTAAATGAATAACTGAAATAAATTTAAAAAAAATTAAATTCAGGAGATGAAATCAATACTTAATACAAATTTAAAGTCGTAAATTTCATTATCCCTAAAAGTATTAAATCTATTTTTTCCGTTTGCTCGCGTTCATCACAAATAGTCAAATGCACAAAGTGATGCACCGAATAAAAAATTGATCGGGAAGACGTGAGTTCCTCACCAAGCTTGCGTTCTGACCAGACAATCTCTATTTTTAGTTGCCTGGAAACATTGTGCCATCAAGTAATGAGCATGTGATATCATTACCAATAATTTTGATATTTTATACATAAAATAATATACTGGCTCTATGTATTTTAATTCATCTTACAAATCACTCATCTTATCTTTGATTCTTTCCGTTGATAAATTAAAAAAAAAAAAAAACCGTGTTTGTTTCCCCCGTTTTACGTTCAAATGCCCGCCCCGCTCCTCCATTCTCGTTTTTATCCTCAACAAAAGTCTAACTTTTGGTCTGGTAGTAATCCCAAGCCGATTCCTTCTCCATAAATATGATTTTGATTGTCCAGACTTCAGATGCTTCTCAATTCCGAAGGAAACCGATGGACGATGTTGGCTCTGAACGCTGCGAAACAATCAAGGCCTACCCCAACCCCACTTGGCGTTTCTCAACCACTCTCCCATTTCTTAATTACGTACTTTCAGGGAAAGTCAAACTCCATAGGCAACCCACTTGGTGTCTTTATTCATCACTCAATTCATCTCAACCTGTGACGTTGTGGCTTACGACAACCCTAAAGGGGCTTTCAAGGATAGGAGCTCGTACCAACTTGTGTCATGCTGGTTGAACGGCGAGGCAGCTTTTTTTTGTTTTTTTAATTATTAATTAATTGAGAGTAACTGTGAAGCTGAATTAAGATCGATTTGATAACAACGTTGAAAGTGATTGTGTTAAAAAATGGAGATGTAGGTGCGCATGTTGAAGGGACCATTGAAGAAGATGCTCTTTTGTTAAGAGTAGCCAGCAATTGACACCAAGTAAAACACCTAGAAAAACCTTTTATTTTGTCTTCGCTGTTTTCTTTCCGTTCATCAAGTCAAATCCATTACCCTAGCTTTTTGACGGGTGTTCTGGGATATATTTGGGAAGGAGATGATCTTGAAGTTGTTCTGGTAGTGGTAGAATTGCCTACTGGTTTGAAGCTATGAAGGTTGTTCTGTGTTTCAGCTTCTCGATCTTTTGCTTACTTCTGCTTTTGGATTGTTCGGTTTCACTTCCTCTATGTACCGATTCCAGTGAGTCTTGCCCTTCTTTTCCCTTTTTTCTTTTTTATTTTTATTTTTATTTTTTCTGTCCCTTAAATGATGGCTTGCTCAATGCTTTTATTATTGTATTGTTATTTATTCTGATTCATCTGGTGTAGGGGCACCCTTTACTCTCAATACTACACTGAGCTTTTGCCCCTATAATGGAAGCACGTGTTGCAACTCCACAGAAGATTCAAGAATAGCAAAGCAATTCCAAGTGATGAATATATCTGTTTCTGGCTGTGCTTCCGTTTTGAAATCAATACTTTGTGCGGTAAGATCTTGTTCTTCCCAAAGAGGGGAAAAAATTGCTTCTAGTTTATTGATGGAATGAAACAGTTAGGAAGATATTGATATTTGATTCTCAAGATCCGCCTTATTCATGGGATATTAGACAAGTTCCAGTTTTTTAACTAGGTTTGCCAAGTAGTTTAGAGGAACTTGCTTGTCATATCAATTATGAACTGGCCAACCTATCTTGAACTTTGAATAATTGAACAAGTTGATCTGTTGAGTATGTAATCTTCATCACAAACAGCTATTTCAAACTTCCTGCCAATAACTTTTCCCTGCATTCATATATCTTCTCCGTTTGCTTGTAGAGGTGTGACCCATTTTCGGCTGAGCTATTTACGGTTCAATCCTCTCCCAGATCGGTTCCTGTCCTTTGCAATTCCACCATTTCAACAAATACAACTCAGTCGAAGGCGGCAGTAGAGGACTTCTGCTCCCTAGTTTGGGATACATGTCAGAATGTGTCGATGGTGAATTCTCCATTTTCCCCTTCATTACAAGGTCAGACAGGAGGAGCTACAGTAAGTACCAAAGCTGCCAAGCTCACTGAACTTTGGCAGTCCAAATCAGATTTCTGCAAAGCATTTGGTGGAGCTTCAAGTGATGAATCAGTTTGTTTTGATGGTGAACCTGTTGAACTAAATAAAACTAAGACTCCCAATAGCCCTCCAGATGGCTTGTGTCTTGAGAAAATCGGGAATGGATCTTATCTCAACATGGTTGCTCATCCTGATGGTTCTGATCGCGCTTTCTTCTCTAATCAAGTGGGTAAAATATGGTTGGCAACACTTCCAGCTGAGGGTTCAGAAGGCACAATGGAGCTTGATGAATCTAGCCCATTTGTTGATCTAACTGATCGAGTCTATTTTGATTCAGCGTTTGGAATGATGGGCATGGCATTTCATCCAGACTTTGTGAAAAATGGTCGATTTTTTGCATCATATAATTGTGATAAGTCTAAGTCACCACAATGTGCAGGAAGATGTTCTTGTAACTCAGATGTGAATTGTGATCCATCAAAGCTAGGTACTGATAATGGTGCCCAACCGTGCCAGTATCATTCTGTTATAGCAGAATATACTGTTAATGATACGGCAACCCAGCCTTCCATGGTACACCTTTCTGCACACATAATTTCTATATATTTAGTTCAATCCAATGAGGAAAACTGAATTTCTGTTTTTCCAGGCAGAAAGTGCTAAGCCAATAGAGATGAGAAGGATATTCACCATGGGTCTTCCATTTACGTCTCAACATGGAGGTCAGATACTCTTTGGACCTGATGATGGGTATTTATACTTCATGATGGGGTTTGGAGGCGGCGGTGGTGATCCATATAATTTTGCCCAGAACAAGAAATCATTACTTGGGAAGATCATGAGACTTGATATTGACAACATTCCAAGTGAGTATACTCATAATTAGCTGTGTATTTGATACGATGATGCCTTGTTGGCTTGTTCAACCAAATGATGCCAAGTTTCTAACCTTCTATTGGAGTAGGTTCTACACTAATTTTTCTCAGTCTAGTGCTACCACTACATACCAAACTTCAATTAGCTTTTGCCCAATCACTTTAACGAAGGATGACAAGAACCTTGAAAACCATGTTGACATCTCATACTTTACTGACCCTTATAAGATCTTGAAGACCTATTTTAATTTTCTGTCATTAAATCGATGCATGTTGACCACTCCATTGGATCAGGTTCCCGTTGTTCTCTTTCCCTGACAAGTTACGGATACCAGTTGACAGGCAAAATTTAGATAAATATTATTCCATCTGACACTTGGGTGTGACATCTGGCTTGGATCTTTCAGGTGCAGAAGAAATTGCCAAACTTGGTCTTTGGGGTAACTATTCCATTCCTAAGGATAATCCATTTACTGAAGATGCTGATCTCCAACCTGAAATATGGGCGTTGGGATTAAGAAATCCTTGGCGCTGCAGTTTCGATTCAGCAAGACCTTCTTACTTCGTTTGTGCAGATGTGGGCCAGGTCTGTGAAAACTTATGAATACTCTGATAAAGTCAATAATTAAAGCACTTTTGTAACTTAAAAACAAACTAAATAAGGAGCCTAGGTCTTCTGAAGTGACATGATTTGCCATTTTGCTTACTAGAGAAACTCCTAAATTTTACAAATTCAAGTTACCGCTGCCAGTTTTGACTTATAAGTGCAATCTTTAGTATCTCACTCAACAGAAGAGTCCTCAGCGGACCTCTTCCTATACCAGAATTACATTTCTGTACATCCAACAATGTTTGCTTGACTCATTAATGCTTGCAGGATCTTTATGAGGAGGTGGATCTCATTACAAAAGGTGGAAACTATGGATGGCGTGCTTATGAGGGCCCCTACAAATTCACCCCTAAGGATTCACCTGGAGGCAACACTTCTCTGGACTCGATAGATCCAATCTTCCCACTAGCAGGTTACAACCATTCTGAAGTAAACAAGAATGAAGGATCAGCCTCCATCACTGGGGGCTATTTCTATAGGTCTACGACTGATCCTTGCATGTATGGAAGGTAAACAAGCATATTCTTCTACGGCCTTGAAGCTAGAAAGCTGCTCTATTTGCAATATTACCAACTTTTGCTCATTTATCATTGTGTGTCAGGTACTTGTATGGAGATCTGTATGCCGTTGCTCTGTGGGCAAGCATTGAGGATCCAGAAAATAGTGGAAACTTCACTACCAATAAAATACCTTTCAGTTGCGCACGTGATTCTCCTATCCAATGTGACTCTGTACCTGGAAGCTCCCAGGCATCTGTAGGTTACATCTTCTCATTTGGGGAAGACAACAATAAGGATGTTTTTCTGCTTACAAGCTCTGGTGTTTACCGTGTTGTTCGTCCAAGTCGATGCGGTTACACTTGCTCGAAGGAAACTGCTGCAACAACAGGTTCCAGCCCAGCTCCTCCTCCATCACATGCTAGCCGCGGGAGTATCCTTTCTGATAATCTGTTTCTGCAACTTTCATATTTCCTGTTGTATTTTATATGTTATCATCTTCTGAACACCATGTAAAGACAGAGGATAATTTGTGTAGAGGATGAATGTGATGCGACAATACCTTATTATCCTTTCTAATTTTTTCTCTCATTCTGTGTGCTTCATCAGTAACAGCTTTTCTGAGTACTGACTATTGAGGTTATCATTCCACCAGTGTCCTTTCTACCCTCTTCACTATATTCTATAGTGATCTTTTTGCACGGTTGAGCTGAAATGAGCCACCATGTCAGGGGGCTTCTTATTATGTTACCCATAGCATATCGTAGATTTCATTTCATTCTTTTCACAATAGGGTTACCCATTTCAGTTATTTTCACGAGTTTCAGGGTCTAAGAAGGTTTCCGTTGGAGAAAGAACTACACTTAGCAACAGATTGGGCTAACAATTGGCTGCCACTGAGAAATCAAAATCAACCTAACTCGTCGCAATGAAACTCCAGCAGTTATACTTGAATAGATGAAGGGACATAGAAAGGGTTAATTGGAAATATTCGGTAAATAGTTGAAACAATACGAGATCTACTTTACATCATATCATTCATTAAATGAATTTCACATAGAATCGCAACGACGGTGATTACCTTCATATCAATATGATCAATCCACATTCATACAACATAAAAATCCCAGAAACACGACAGTTTCCTTTTGGACCATCAGGAGCAAAATAACGCTACCCTAACAAATTCAAAATCAAGCTAGATGACAAGTGAGTTGGAGCGGGGGAAAGTGGGATCAGTTGATATCAGAATCATCGAAATCGTCCTCGAAGGAGTTGAAAAAGTCGGCATCGGCGAGCTTGTTATCTGGGCAGATTAATCCGTCGCCGAAAAAATCGAGAGAGTCAACGTCGTCGACGTCCATTGCCATGACCGATCCTTGCTCGTCTATCTCCGCAACTGCGTACACGTCCATTAGTATCGGCGGCTTCGCTCGCTTCCTTCTCCCTTCTACACTGCCAGCAACACGGACGAGATATCGGATTTTGGTTTCAGATTTTTGGGGGCAATTTATACCCAGCACGAGGCATCTTAAGAAAGGCGTCTAGGGGATAACATGTCGTTTTGCTACAGCTGTTTGCATTTTTTTTGTTTTTTGGGGTTGGGTTTGCAATAATTGACTTTTTACTCTGTCTCTCTCTATACTTAATCTGTAATCACTTCAGTGAAATTAAGTAGAAGAGGTTGTTAATTTTATCTAAAAATAAAATAAATTTTTAATTTTATTCATATTTTAATAAAATATTTTTAAAATTTCATTACATTTTTTTAATAATTAATAAGTTTAAATAGAAGTAATACTAAAAGAATATAATTAATATGTCCTTGAATGCCGATAATATTACCATTACTATTAGTAATAATATTAACAATTTTAATCCTACGTGAAGCTATAGGTCATTAGTCCCTACTCTCTAACTTAAAATATAAAAGATATGAAATATCAATGCTAAAAATAAGAGATGAGTGAGAAAAAGAGAGAGCGTCTGGAGATCAACGAGGCAACGGCGGTGAGGGAAAGGGTGGTGATCTTGGAGGTGGAATCAATGAAGGAAGGAATAACTTTATCTTTTCCAATATGAACATTGATAGATATCGTCAAAGTGGGAAGGAGAATAAGGTGGAAGAAGGCTTGAACTCTAGGAAGAAGATATCCTACAAGGATTCTTTAATGATTCTAAAATTTGCAGGATTTCTTTCTCCTAATGATCAATCCAATAATATTATGCATAGATGGAAGGGCTACCTTGAAAAGTTAAGGGCGCAGGAGGCTATTAAGAGGGTAAAAGGGAAATTGAGTGAGGTAGAATTAGAGGAGGAGGACTTGTTTGAAGATCAAAGGTCCATGAAAATCCCTGAGTTGAAGATCCCTGAACAAGCATATCTTGATTGGTGCAAGCCCTGGTTAAATTCCCTTATTGTGAAATTATTGGGACGTAATATCCCATTAAGGTTTTTGAGAATTAGGTTAACAAGAATGTGGCAGATTAAGGAGCCTATGCGAATTACACTACTGAAAAATGGATACTTTATTATCTCCTTCTCTAACAAGGATGATCTTGACCATGCTTATTAGGAGGGGCCATGGCTGATAGATGATCACTATCTTCTTATGCAAAAATGAAGACCTAATTTTAATCCTTGAAAAGCAGAAACACAAAGAAGGATAACAGCTTGGATTCATGTCTTGGATTTTCTTGTTGAATTATATAATATAGAATTTTTGAGGATGATAGGGGATAAAGTTGGTACTACTCTAAAAGTTTATTGATCTACTTCCATATATGATAAGGGTGTATGTGCTAGAATATGTGTTGAACTTGACTTAAGCAAACCCCTTTTGCCTGTCTTTACTGTGAATGGGAAAGAATATAAAATTGCGTATGAAGGTCTTCATCTCATCTTCTTTTATTGTGGCTGGTTTAGGCATCATTTGAATGCTTGTCCTGATCGAGTTCAGACCTATAAACAAGGAAAAGAGATGAATGACAATTTCACTAAGAGAAATAGCAAACAAATATGTCTATTAGAAACATACAATTAGGGGATGGCCCAAGGGTGGAGAAGATCACGTTGGAAAAACAAGGAGAGATTGAAGGAACTCAAGCAGTGGGCTAGAACGACATAGGCACGTCAGAGATGGTATCTAGCTATAAATACAGACCTGATATGATTGTTAAGCAAGATTTTTGCAAGACGATGCTAAAATCAGAGCCTAAGGGAGATGCGACTGGTTCAAATAAGGGGAAGGAGATAGGGAAGCCAATTGTTGTGGCACAAAAATCGAGATTTAGAGTATGGAAGTTAATAAATCTGAGGTGCAATGTAGATTTCATAAGGAATTCGTGAACCATAAATCAGAGTGGACCTTATGGGAGGAAAAAGAAAAGCTCCTTTAAAAGCCAAAGGAAAAAAGAAAGAAAATGTAACACCAAGCATGGGTCGAAATAGACCAAATTTTATTGGCCCCAACTCATTTGATGCTTTTACTAATTATGATAGGGGCTTGTCTGGTGGGTATAATCCTCAAACAGATAATAGGCCAATTTCTTTGGAGTTGAAGGTTGATCAAAGGGTGAATGAAGTAGGCCAGGATGCTAATAGGTGCCATGTCGTGAATCAGCTACTAATTAATGCTGGTTATTTCCTCAAGACCTAGACATTGCATATAAAATGGACATCACTTTCTATGAAGGTATTGATACGGGCTTGCAAGCCTACTCTTAATCTATTTTTATGAATTTTATGATATGGAATTATAAAGGCATTGGATCATGTTCATTTTCATGCCTTATTTATAACAGCACACCGCCTTACCACTGCCTCCCCAGGGTCTTTTGGCGGTGCTGGGACCCCTCCCCTCACGGGGCCTAGATCCAGCATTTCCCACTGGTGGTATAGTGGGTACTCTTCACCCCACCCTCACGGGGGTCTTTTGGGACTCATTGGTATCAGACTTAGCCTCAACTTTGTTAAGGTGGTAGAAGTTGGAGGTTCGAGTCTGGAGAGGTTCCAAAAGACCCCCGTGAGGGTGGGGTGAGGAGTACCCACTATACCACCAGTGGGGAATGCTGGATCTGGGCCCCGTAAGGGGACGGGTCCCAGCACTGCCAAAAGACCTTGGGGAGGCAGTGGTGAGGCTGTGCTGTTACATTATTAAAGAATTGAAGCGTAGCTATAAGGTGGAGCTTTTAGCAATAGTGGAAACTTGAGCTAGTATTCCTAATGATGTTGATATTGCGAAGTCTCTAGGTTTTCATAATTTTCATATTGTTGATGCAAGAGGTTATAACGGAGGTCTTTGGCTTTTGTGGGATGATCTAGACTGGAAAATTGAGATTTTTAGTAGTCATACTCAATGTATTCATTTTAAGGTCAAGAAAAATTATACAAGCTGGTATGGCACAGTTGTGTATGCAAGCCCAAATGTTGTCAATAGAAATCTTCTTTGGAACGAACTTAGGCGTATTAATATGAGAATTAATAGTCCCTGGTTTATAGGAGGAGACTTTAATTGTACTTTGTCTAGCCATGAAAGATGTTCCTTATCTTGAAATTCTGCTATTGCTGATTGTAATTTTTTGCTTGGTGGTAGATAAATTAGAGTTAATTGATATGGAGTGTAAAGGGCCCTTATTTACCTAGCATAGAGCTGGGTGTAAGAGTAAACTTGATCATGTGCTCATGAATGAGGAACGTAGCTATAAATTTCCTAATGCATATGTTGTTAGTTTATCTTATTTCAAATTTGATCACAGGCCTATTATTCTTAAGTTGTATGAAGACACTATTTTGTGTTCTTCACGGCCTAAATCGTTTAGATTTGTTGCTTCTTGGGTTCTTCATAGTGAGTTTGATCAATCGGTGCGTGAGAAATGGAACAACCGAGCTAGCTGGAATGAAAACATGTGTTCTTTTACTGAGGTTGTTGTGAAATAGAAAGATGAAGTTTTTGGGTATCTAAGGAACAAGAAAAAGTTATTGATTTATAGGCTAAAAGGCCTTTCTAAAACGGACCAATCTTGCTTCAATGCACTCGTGAGAGTGGAGCTACAATATAGACTTTGGGTGGACCTTAAAGAAATTGTCTCCTTTGGGTGTAAAAAGCTAAGTATGACTAGTTTGTTTTTGGTGATAAAAATACTAGATATTTTCATGCTAAAGCTAATGTTCAAAGAAGAGCGAATAGAATTGAAGCTCTTAAGAAAGAGGATGGCAGTTGGGTTTATGATATCGAAAGGATTGCTCAGATTGCTAGAAGTTTCTTCTCTAACCTTTTTTAAGGATGATAGGGGACCCAGACATACTATTCAATCTTTTCATTCCTTTCCAGAGGTTAGTAATGTTCAGATCAATCAATTATCTAGAATATTTGATACTAAGGAGATTTATAAAGCTTTATTTGATATGGGATCACTGAAATCTCCTGGACCTGATGGGATAAATGCTCTTTTCTTCCAAAGTTAATAGAACTTAATTGGGCCTTCTATAATCTCTATAATGTAAAGAAGTTTTAAAGATTCCTCTTTAATTAGAGATATTAATGGTACTTTTATTGTGCTTATTCCTAAGAAAGAGA